CGGACAGCTGACAAGGGGTGGCCCTCCAGCTTGGGGGTTGGGCGTGGGGCTAACAACTCCTCACCACAAAACATAAGTATGTTACGAAAATGAATACCAATTCAACTACAATACTAAATTCTAATCCATGCTGTCCTTCTGTGTGTAACTTGTGGCCACACTCAATGGCCAAGACTCACCTCCAAAAATTAAATTCACTATTTCCTGTATTCACATATTCAAGTCTTTTTTCATAACTCTTTAATTTCATGACCTCTAGAAATTCTGATGTGGTTAATTATATTCAAACTGGGGAATTATAAAGCACGGTGTTCCACAAGGATCAATTTTAGGTCCCTTACTTTTTCTTCTCTACATAAATGATCTATCTAAAACCATCAACAATAAATCTAAACCAATTCTATATGCAGATGACATTAGTATAATATTTAAGAACTCTAAATTTGAAAACTTTAAAAATTACATAAATATTGTATTTGAAGCCTTAAACAGATGGTTCGAAGCCAATTTACTCTCATTAAATTTTGATAAAACCCATTACATATCATTCACAACTAAAAACAACCACCAAATTGATCTGGACATCAGTTATGCCAACAAATTAATCTGTAAAGTACTTGATACAAAATTCCTTGGAATACATGTAGACAGTACACTGTCTTGGAAAATACATATTGAACAAATTATACCTAAATTAAATGCAGCTTGCTATGCGATGAGATCAATTAAGCCTTTTATGTCACAGGAAACATTGAAGATGGTTTACCATGCCTACTTTCATTCTATTATGAACTATGGATTAATATTTTGGGGGAACTCTTCACATAGTGTAATAATTTTTAAAATACAAAAGAATATAATTAGAATCATTACAGGATGTAGAAGTAGAGATTCATGTAGAGAATTATTTAAGAAATTAAAAATTCTACCTCTTCAATCGCAATACATATTATCGCTTCTCTTATTTGTTGTTTACAACAAAGATAAATTCAAATTAAATTCTGATGTCTATAACATGAATACTAGACAAAAATATAACTTCCACCTACCCTCATCAACTTTATCAGTATATCAAAAAGGAGTCTACTTTACTGGCATAAAAGTGTTCAACAATCTGCCACAAAGTATTAAAAACTTGGGCAATGATACTAAAAAGTTTAAATCAGAGTTAAAGAATTATCTACATGCTCATTCCTTCTACTCTTTAGATGAATACTTCAATGTAAATAGAGAATGATGTAAAATTAAGTTATATTAATTTTTAAGCTAAAATTGCCTGTACTTATGTATGTAACCTTTTGACTTGTTCTGTATCCAAAGGTACTAACCTACTTAGGATTTATAGAATGTAAATAAATTCAATTCAATTCAATTCATGGTATCTATCCTTTCCCTCCCCACATTCCTAAGTCAGGAATTATTTTTAATAATGATGGAAACAAAATATACCCCTATGTGACCCTAAAAGAAATGCTTGTTAATTTTTCCATGACAAATTATTATTCTTTTGTTAGATTATTTCAAGCTGATGTATAAAATCTGTCACTTTGTATGCTCAACTGTGAGGGACTCTAAAACAGAAGTAACTTTACATTTATCAGCATGGTCTAACAAAGGCTAAAAATGTATCAGGTACAAACAATAACAAAGTAACAAGAACTGATAAATAACAATACATACTACTGCAAAGTATAAGCCTAAACAAAATACATTACTTGTGATTCACAGATGAATATACGAGTGTATATTATATTAATTAGCAGGATACGAAGGTCAGTCAAAAAGTTCCCAGAATGGTGGTATAGCACTCTAATGGTAGGACATACGGCAACGCTTACCTAATCACTTTCAAAGTAGGACCCTTGCATGAACACACACTTGCTCCATCGATCCTGCCATTGTGGGAGGCAGCGGTATAAGGCTTATTTTGGAATCTTCCGGAACTCAGCCGTTGCATTAGATTAAATGTCCTCCATGGTTGCGAAACATGTCCCCTTGAGGCCCATTTTCAGAGTAGGGAGCAGCCAAAAGTCACTTGGAGCGAGATCCAGAGAGTACAGTGGTTGAGTGATGACAGGAATATTTTTCTCAGCAAGGAATTGCTGCACAACAAGTGCTGTGTGGCTCGGTGCATTATCGTGATGCAGAAACCACTGACCCTGCCACTTGTCACGCCGCTTCCTCCGAACCACACCCCGCAACCTCTGCAAAACTTGCACGTAGAAATGGCCAGTAACAGTATCAACTTCTTGCTACAACTCCACGATGGTCATTCTTCGATCACATCGAATCAGCTGTTGCACTTTTCCAATCATTTCTTCAGTTCTGGATGTCGAAGATCTCCCGCTGCGCTGGTCATCCTCTAATGTCTCCTCGCCGTTCTTAAACCAGGAAAACCAGTCGCAAACTGCTGATTTCTTTCGTGCAGTATCACTGTAAACTTGCCACAGGGCCGATAGTGTCTCTGAAGCAGAATTTCCAAATTTGCACAAGAACTTGATGTTCGAACTGCGACACTGTGCCGGGTGACCAACACTCACATCTAATTCAAAAGGAACAGTAACGATACTGCAAAGTGAAACCTGTCCAAACCTGTTGCGCCTGCAAGCAGACATGCTGAGCTTCCCACCACAACAGCGTGTGCGCAATCTTATCACTCATTATCACTTCATTATCACTCATTCTCCGTCTGCAGGGGAATTCCAAGAACTCTTTGACTGCCCTACGTATGTCATGTGGGGTGGTGTGATTTTATGAACTGTATCTATAGTGTGTGGTAGTATGAAATAACTTAGGTGAAATAGTTATGTTACTTTTAGACATGCATATGAGGTGCTATCAGAAAGTTCGCAGACTGTTACTCATGTATCTGCCTCTGTGAAAGAAGATGAGGAGACACCAAAGTCACACTTCCACAAGCCTATTGCCACATGACACTGCACTGTGAACACGCACTGTGTTTACATGAGTGCTTTTTCAACGTGGTGTTTCTTTTTGTCTGCAATGGATGGCACAATTAAGCAACACGTCTGCATCAAGTTTTGCATGAAAACTGTTAAAACTGGTACCAAAACCCTTGAAATGCTTCATGAGGCTTTTGGGGAACATTCTTTAAGCTGAACAGCGGTTTTTGAATGACATCCACATTTCAAGGCTGGTCGAGTGTCAGTTGAAAATGACGAACATTCAGGGTGACCAAGCACCAACAAAATGACAGAAAATGTTGAAAAAATTAGAGAACTCATCCACAACGACCATCGCCAAACAATCCACAAGCTCGAAGACAACATTGGGATCAGTTATGGAGTTTGTCAGATCTTAACAAAAAATGTGAACATGCACCACATTGCCACGAAGTTTGCTCTCTGACTCTTGTTAAATGATCAAAAGCAGTGGCGCATAACCGTGTCTTGAACTACGAGAAAAGGCTAATGATGACCCAACTTTCATTTGTATCTCTAGGATCATAATGGGTGACAAAAGTTAGATTTGAGGTTATGATCCAGAAACAAAGCAACAATGGTCACAGTGGAAGAGCCCACAATCACCAAGAGCAAAAAAGGCATGGCAAATATAGAGTTCAACAAAGAGCATGTTTCTTCTGATGTGAAGGAGACTGTTCACCGTGAATTTGTTCCTCCTAACACTATGGTCAACTCTGACTTTTACTGTGATGTTTTGAGATGCTTGAGAGAAAATGTGCAACAAAAAAGACCAGAACTTTTGCACAACCACAGCTGGCTCCTTCATCACAACAATGTGCCAGCCCACATGTCCCTGAATATCACAAGAGTTCATGACTAACAACATGGGTATCATTCTCCATCCTCCCTTACATGCTGGACTTAGTCCTCTGTGATTTTGCTTTGTTTCCCAAATTTAAAATGAAACAGAAGGGACAACATTTTGAAACAGTGTCTGATATCCAAAGTGAATCATAAGTGGTACTCGACAGCTTTAAGGAAAATTACAGCCAAAAGTAAGTAAGTTAAGCCAGCATCTCTTTCTTGACCTAGTCCTACATCAATAGTTTAGAATCAAAATAGGATGAATAAAATTGAATTGAACTGAATTGAACGGAGCAAAGGAGTTCAAGATAAGGAGTTTAAACAGGAAGCTGCTTGGGTTATTCCCTAACTGTACAGGCACACTATAACAGGATGATAACTAAGAATAATGAATTTGGAAGAATGTGGAAGGAATCAGTTATGGCATACTTTAAGGAACTATTTCAGCATTTGCCTAGTGGGATTGGGGGAGACAATGAGAACCTCAGTCAGCATAGTTGGCCATAAAGCCAAATATCAAACTCGAGACCTCCCATATATGAAGCAGGAGTGTTAATCAATCAATCATGTTAGTAAGTACAAAATCTGAGGCAATGATATTAATTATTCTTGTAGCAGGGCACCTTGAATACCCATGTGTTTTGTTTCTCTAAAAACTGTCTTTCTTTGTGGTTTCAAAAACTGTATGGGAACTGGAGGTGAAAGATATTCACTTCAAATGGACAGTAGGAAGGGCAACAGTCCCTTCTGCCTCTTACTTCTAAAATCAATATAATTCCGTTTAGAGTTTATTAGTATTTATAGCAAACAGAGATGCATGTAACACTATATATACCCGAAATACAAATAAATAAAATAAAAGGGTGGCATTTACACCATTTTTCGGTTGGGTAGCGGGCGATGGGATGTAATGGACACAAGACAGTGTCATCATAGTTTTTTGCAGTATGAAGTTTAATGGGGACAAAACAGCTGATCTTTTATGTTACGGTTCCTTAGTCACTATATTCTTCCCCACATCTGCCTGTTATTACAGTCTACTACAGAACTGTCGAAGTGTTATAATCTATATCAAACAGTTTACTTCAGATACAATAGTTCTTTTATGACAAATTTCCTGCATTACAATTAACACAACTGCTGAGCTTCTTTCCAATGAAACAATTCGCCAACATGCTTTGTTAGTCAGTAGTAGAGTGCAAGAATTCTTACCTCAGTAAGATGGTGAGATCAATGTCATCACTGAGGCGGTCCAGTGCTGTGGTTCCATCAACTCTAACAGCATTAATCTTGTCTCTAAGACCCTGTGAAGTCCCCACCACTGCATGCCTTTCCTTCAGGATGTCCAATATGTTGGGCTGACGAAGGAATGCAACTACCTTCTCATTATATGCTGTGGGGATATCTGGAGGAGCCAGCACACGTGGGACAGAAGCACCACTCAAACTGGAAGCTATGTTTGGATTGCACCCACAATTCACTGTGGGACGTGGTGGGGGGACTGGTGCCTGCACACAGGAGTGTTACAAATTAAAAATCTTCACTAATAGGGCGGAAGTGAACAACAATAAATTCTCTCTCTTATAGGAACATTTAAAATTTTAGTGCCTTCTGTAAATATCTCAAAATGCATTTTTTTAAATACATTTTTACCTTCTATACATATCAGTTTGTTCTACTGCTGCTGATCAGATTTGATGAAAGTCAAATGCAGCCACAGAGCATGTATCATTTGTCAATTATGTTCCCATTTCCTGTATTAAATACTGGAAACTGCTGAATTACTTTGAAAATTACCAGAAACTGCCTCTGTAAAGTAGCACCCAAAATAAAAGACGCCAAAATAATACGCCTTAATAGTGATACTAAAACTTCCTTTAATCCGTAATTTTCACCCATGAACCTTTTACAGAAGGAAGAAACATTGTTCCTTCAAATGTAAGCTGTGTTACGTATAAGTAAACAGACTTGTCAGTGTCCAGTTTTGCTGAGTATATTTCAAGTCTTATTAATGCTATGATTATGTTTTGTGGCCTTAAATAAAAATGTAAAGAACAATAACACTAATTAGTGTTTATATAAATATCGTACATATGCTGTGAAACCATTTGTAAACATTTAAGACTTAATGATAGGCTATAAACTGACTACCATCATGTCCAGATGGCATCATCATCCATTCTGCTGGCTAAAGAGATAAAGGAGGACAAAGTTTGAAACAAAGCTCTCACCTCCATCAAACAAAAAGTCACAGTATGCACAGAGACTTAAAGCCAAATTCCTATCTACACTGAAGAAGTGATCCCTAACCACAAACACAACTTTTTAACCACCTTAAAGAAAGTTTTGGAGAGCTACAAGGTTGAGGTGAAAGTTGACTATACAATTTAATAAGAACAGAATAATATACTTATATAAATAAAATATATTAAATATATGCATAACTAATCCAGCAACAGAACGAAAGTAAAACAGAAAGAAAGGAAGACAGAACAATAAATACAGAGAGCAAGGAATAAAGAAAGCAAGTAGGTATGTGGGCATGCAGGTAGGTCAGTGATTCACTAGCATAGCCTTTCCTCTGAATAATAAGTTAATCAGCTCTTTGATAAATTAACTTCCCCGAAAAGCAAAGGTTCATCACGATCTCTACATTGCCTGATACTGAGACAGCTCAACTTCATGCACATCTTCTTGAAGAACAACTAAACTAAACTAATATTCAGCAAACCTTACAATCATATTTTTAATTAGTGGAAAATACGAATGAAATTTAACAAAAAGCAACTCCCTTTGTACCTTCATCCTTCACCCCCTTTTTTCCTTTCCTTCATCAATTTCATAGCTTTGTCCCACTCCTTCATCTTTCAGTTAAAATGATTATACCTTTACGCTTCAGATGGCACAGTTTTGAACACAGAAATGCTATCTATTTAAGTAAGTGAAAAATATTTTCAGCATAAGAATGACATAATATACACAGAGTCAGATAACACATATACCTGTACACAGTCATAAACTGTCCCCTATTACCAATTTTAAATAACAAAAATCTGCAAAATATCCTGCCTTGTATCACTTTAACACTCGCTTCCATCTTCATTACTCCTTAATTTAGAATATTATTAAAATTAAACAGCTACACTGCATTAGTTCTTAAGTTGAAATATTCCAATGTTATTCTACTTTCATCGTTCACTCATTAAAATACATTTGCTTAAGAAAATCACTCTATCTTTTCACATGCTACCTTCTTCTTGTGCTGTTTTGTTTAGCCTTATGAATTTCGGTGTCATACTGTTACTGTTATTTTTATGTACCCCATTAGTATGTATGTTCCCATGCAGCTGCACTAGTCAAGTGTAAAAAAAAAAAAAAGGAAAAAAAAAGCTACCCCTGTAACAGGCCATGAAGGCCCATAGGGTTGTGAGACGTTGAGAGTCCCACATTATCAAGACAATCAGCTCATAGACGGCGGTAAGGTTGTCAGCCTTACGCGCCAGCCGCGCTTTACTCCCCAGGGAAATTATTTTATTAATTCCTGGTACTCATTTCTGTTAGAGGCTGAGTCGACCCCAGAGCCATAGTGCAGCTGGAAGGTATAGGTCAACTGAAAGATATCCAATGACCTCAATGGGACTTGAACCCATGACCTTCTGACTTGTAGCATAGCCCCTCAACCAACTATGATACTGCGTAACTCTGCTCTAGTCAAGTGTAAGTCACTTTATTGTAATTATTATTAGTATTTACAATAAAGAGACATACACTTGACTAGAGCAACTGTGTGGGAACATAAACACTAATGGGGCACATAAAAATAATGATAACAACACACTAATATATGACATACACAGGGTTAAACATAACACAAAAACATGGACACCGTAAGAAGAAGTAAAAAATAAAGGTAACCCTGTAACAGACTGTGGAGGTCCATATGGTTGTGAGACGTTGAGGCTGCCAGATTTTATAGACAATTGGCTCATAGATTGAGACAAGGCTGTCAGCCTTTTGCGCCGGCCGCTCTTTACCACCAAGAACATTCCAAGAATATTCCTGGTACTCATTTCTGTTAGAGGCTGACTCGACCCCAGGGTCATTTTTTGATTGCTTGTGGGGTGGGACTAAGTCCCTTCTACTGCGGCCCCTTCTGGCCTATTGTACCAGCCCCAGATGATAGGTGAGGGTGATTGTGGAGCAATTGGTGGAATCAAGATTACCAGGGGAAACCTAAGTACTTGGAGAAAACCTGCCCCAGTGCCACTTTGTCCACAACAAATCCCACTTCACCAGACCAGGAATCGAACCCGGACCGCCACAATTGGAAGTCGGCGACTAACCACTTGAGCTATGGCACAGCCCTGATCCCAGGGCCACAGTGCAGCTGGAAGGAATAGGTAAATTGAAAAAAAATCCAATGGCCTCATTGGGATTCGATCCCGCCACCTTCCGGCTTGCAGCACAGTGCCTCAACCAACTATGCTACCGCATGTCCCCTTAACGCAAGAAGAAGTTGGCACAAAACAAGATTAAGAGTGATGTTCTCAAGCAAATTTGTTTTAATGAATGAATGAATGAATGACAAAAATTGAATACTGGACACTGGAATATTCGGCTTAAGAACTAATGCAGTGTAGCAATTTAAATAAGCAAACAGTTGTCTGATGATGGGCAAGCACGGCTGAAACATGTAGCAGTTTAATTTTAATATTATTTTAAATTAAGGACTACTTGTAAATGAAGCTGCATTAAAGATGAAAGCAACAGGATGCTGAAATATAAGGGCAGTCAAATGAAAACAGGTCACCACGCATAACTCACTAGGCACACAAGTTGGTAATACTGGAATTTGCTTACGGTACAAACATCTGGTGGGGACCCGGGAAAGCACAGTGACGTGTCCTTGCACACTTGTCGTTTGTTTATTGTGCTGGAAGTAAGGTCAGCGCTACATGTAGTCATCCAACATCAGTAATGGAGGCAAGTAAGGAAAAACATCAAAGTGTAGTGCATACTTTGACTGCTGAAGGAGTAGGAGAATGAGAAATTCATTATCGCATGTCTGTTGTTTATGGCGAACACAGAATGTCACGCTCGCATGTGCTGGCGTGGCATAAGAGATTCTGAGAGGGACATGTGTCACTGCAAGATGATGCTCAGCCAGGACAGGCTCATCGTGTCATCACTCCTGATGTAATTGCTGCATTTGATGGTCATATCCAGGCAAACCGACGGATCACTGTGGAAGAAATTAGTCTTTTGATGGGAATAAGTCACGTTTCTGTACACTCCATTGTGACAAAACACCTGCTGTACCACAAAATCTGCGCGCAGTGGGTTCCACATAAATTCACAGAGGAACAGAAGAGTCGGTGAATGGGTGCATCACTGGGTCACTTGCAACGATACCATGAGGAAGAGTATGCTTTTCTCTCCCGTATTGCCACTGGGGACAAAACTTGGTGCCACCATTTTGAACCCGCAAGCAAACGGCAGAGCCAACAGTGGACACACGTCAATTCTCCCCCACTGAAGAAATCCAAAGCCGTACACACAAGTTCCGGTAAAGTGATGATGATGATCTTCAACTTCAAAGGCCCTCTGCTTGTCGAATTTCTCGAGTATGGGGTCACAATCAGTGCACAGCGCTATGAAGACACTTTGCAGAAACTAAGACGTGCCATAAAGTCTTCTGCATGATAATGTGAGCCCCCACACTGCCAACTCTGTGAGGAATACGCTACAGAGATTTGGTTGGGAAGTGCTTCAACATCCCCCCTACAGCCCAGATCATTCCCAATGTGATTTTCACATTTTTGGAGACCTGACATTGGTTTGCATCAGACAAAGACGTGTGTGGCTGGGTAAAGATGTGGTTCCGTAGACAGCCCACAAGCTTTTTCAGGGATGGGATTGACCATCTTATCTCCCAGTGGGATAAATGTAGTGTAACGTGTCGGCAAACCAGAGGAGTAACTTCTATGGAAACGCTAAAATAGACCGTTATAGAGGAGACAACAATGGCTCCATTGTAATTCTAACAGGAGTCTCGGAATAGTCTTCGAAGAAGACCTACTTGGATTTATTTGTAGCGTGACAACAAAGAACATGTTAAAGAACATTTCTTACCTCAAAAGTAATCTCCAAAACTGTTAATACTGTAGCATGACACACAAAACACGCTACAGTATTAACAGTTTTGGAGATTACTTTTGAGGTAAGAAATGTTCTTTAACAAGTTTCATTTCATGCATCCTGTTGTGTTATAATATACAATTTCTTTATTAAAACTGTCACAACACAACTATATTACGGTCAGTGCCTAGTTGGGCAGAGCCACTGACCTTAACAATTTCTTTATTAAAACCATCAGAAAACAACTATATTAAGGTCAGTGCCTAGTTTGGCAGAGCCACTGACCTTAATATAGTTGTGTTGTGACGGTTTTAATAAAAAAAATTGTTCTTTAACAAGTTTTGGCTTCTGACGTGCTTTCATTTGACTA